AGGCAATGGTCTGGCCTCAATGCTGCGAGGCCAGGCCAGACCCTGGACCGTCCAGATGGACGGTTCAGCCTCAATCGGCGGGCGGCAGCTTCAAGAGCGCCGCCAGGCCCAAACGAAGTGTCGTTTGGGCCTACCCGATGGGTGCTGGTCCAAAATCAGGCCTTTAGGGCCTGTAACCCCAAAAGGTCAGACCTTTAGGCCCTGGTGTGTCCCTCCGGCCCTAAGTCGGGTCCGATAGGACCCGTGTGTGTCGAAGATGTAACAGCCACACTCTCGTCACCTTCGACGATGAGACTGTTAAGAGATTGTCCCTCAAAGAGGCAGGGGGCGAGGCAAGTAGTGGTGGTGAGTTTGGAAAGGGTGACGTCACCGCCATAGTGGCCAACAAGGGTCGGACCAACCGAGGTGGATATAGGAAGAGGAGGCCACACTCCTTCCCATAGCATCTTGGCATTGCGTTTGGTCGGCCTCGGGAGAAGATGAGCCACAACCAGAAGGAATGACAAGAACGGATGGATAACATGTAGTGCTTGAAGTGCGGCACTGTGGGACGCATAATTGCATGATGGCCCCTCATCTAGAACCCAAAAGGGAGCAGCTAGTAGGAGTAGCATCTTCTCCTACTAAGTTGGAGGGTTTAGTCATAGGTAAGGCACCTACAACCCCTTTTAACCCCCCCGACTCGCAAGGCAGAGGATGGTTCTTCTTCGGTCTGTCGCCCAGAGCATCTTGATAAAGTCTTGTGTTTTGTCATGGTGGGTGATTCCCTTGATGAACTTGGTTGCGAACTCGTAGCATTAAGAAGTTCATGGGCTAAGAAAATTGCGTCTAAGGGTGAACTAATGATCACAGACGTAGAGATTGCACACACCCGCATGAGTGCATTGTTAGATCTTGGGCGTACGCGGTCCTCAGAAAAGGCAATTGGTAAGTTGCATCTGGGAATGAAAGTGCAGGACCTTTCGAGACCTATCACATCCACGCTTGCAGATAAGAGCACGATCACTATCTCCCAGTTTGTTGATCGTGTAAAGTGTTATTTCAGAACTAAGGAAGGAAAAAGAATACTATGCTTGCAGATAACAGCACGATCACTATCTCTCAATTTGTTGATTGTGTGAATTGTTATTTTATAACTAAGGAAAGAAAAAAAATATTGCATGAAGTAACCTTCCTCGTAGAAAAAAATTGGCCTTTTGATATGATTCTGGGAATGGATTGGCACAAGGAAGCTGACCGAGAAGTGAAGTTGAAAGACAAGATTGTTAAATTAAAGGATGGAAATTTTAAAATGAAATCAAATAAACTATTTCACAAGTCTAGTTATGACTCGTCATTGTCTTTCTGTTGCATGAGTCTACCTGCCTTTCGAAGTATTGTCACAAAGAAAAAGTTGGCACAGAATGTAATAATGATACTCATCAAACGAGTAGAAGGTGAATGTTTTTCGTCCTATCCACCTTTTATTGATATACTACTCAATAAATGTAAGGACTTGTAGACTGAACCAATGAGAGTATGCGACCGTGCTATAAAGCACACCACCGAAATCATTCCCGAAAGTAAGATGCCCAAAGGACCGAACTACCGAATGTCCCCAAGGAATTAGAAGAGTTGAAAAAACAACTATAAGAACGTATAGAAAAAGGATGGATTCGACCAAGTTCCTCTCCCTATGGTGGCCCTTGTCTTATTCGTGTCCAAAAGGAAGGAGAACTTAGGCTATGTATTGACTACCGAGGATTGAATTATGTAACTATAAAGAATGCAGAACCCCTTCCTCGCATTAACAAGTTACTTGACCAGCTGCAGAGGTGCAAGTATTCCATAAAAATTGATTTGGAGTCAGGATACCAGTAGATTGAGGTGACACCTAAATCAACGCAAGAGCGCCTTCCGAACCAGGTATGAACACTATGAGCTTGTGGTTATGCCTTTCGGATTGACTAATTCACCTGCGACTTTTCAAAGGTCAATGAATGAATTGTTTCGACAGTGGCCAGATCAATCTGTAGTGGTGTATCTCAACGATATCCTCGGCTACAGCAAGACGTTGGAAGACCATGAGAAACACCTACGAATGGTTCTAGAAAAATTAAGAGAAGGAAACTACAAGTTAAATCCTAAGAAATCAGAATTTGCTAAGTTTGAGGTATTGTATCTTGGGCACATAGTAAATGAAGAAGGACTAAGGCCAGAAGAAATAATTACAACAATCAGAGATTTGCCCAAACTCAAAGACTGTCATGGAATTGCGATCCTTCCTAGGATTAGGAAGTTTGTGAGGAACTTCTCCCTTATAGTTGCACGTATGAAAAGATTGTTGAAGAAACAGAAACCTTGGTTATGGGATAAAGATTGTGAGTCTGCGTTCAAGAAATTGAAGCATACGCTAACTTACCACCCTGTTTTAAAGATTGCTAACCCACCACTCCCTTTTATTTGACAAATGGTGCCAATCAGTTTGGGATTGGGGTTGTGCTACAGCAGGATGATGAGAAGGGATACAGACCTAATAGAGCTTATGTCTAAATGTCTTCATCTGATAAGGTAGCTAACTCCACCTACGAAAGGGAACTTTATGCCTTCATGGAAGCATGGACACGTGGAAATACTACTTGCTTGGAAGACATTTCATGGTTTATTTTGATCATTCAACCCTGAAATGGATTAAGACGCAACCTCGACTTTCCGACCAGTTAGTGAGATGGTTGGCATTTATCGATACATTTGATTTTGAATTGAAAACCATTACGGGTAAGTCCAACGTGGTTGCTGATGCTTTGTCCCGACGTTTCGATTTCTTTGGTACCTTTATTTCCTACCTTGACATCGGGACAAATTTGAAGGATAAAGTCCGACAACGGTATACTAGGGATCTTATATGAAGTCCTATCATTCAAACCCTACAAAAAAATCATGAACTCTTGCTCGAATATCGAATGACTCATGGTTTATTCTTCTTTATTGACAAAACCAA